TGCTGAACAGTACCTGCTCCGCGTCCTCACAAGGGGGCAGGCCAAGCTCGTCTGTTCTCATTCGGTCAGGCAGTAATCACATTAATTCCCATCCAATATTGGACCGGAACCAAAGAACGTGCTTGTATTTCTCCAAACCGCTAGAACGCAGCCTAGCCGTTACCTTCGCTAACCGGCTTCTGCGTGCCTTTTGCTGCCTTCTTTCCTCAAGCTCCTTTCAGGTAATTGTGGGTGGAAAATGCCGGCCACGTCCCATTGTTTTTGTAGGTGAAAGCCGCTTCTATCTCCCTCGCAATAAACAAGACTGCTCCACTGGCTTATGTTGGTCCGTAGAAAAGCTCATTAGCTACCCCATAGGATTATTAAAAGTTATACACGCTAGGGGCTGTTAATCATACTGAGGGTTAAAAGTTTTTTAAAACCAACACTAAAAGCTAAAAACAACACGGCAACGGTACGGGAGCTACTCGGATAAAGGGGCGCTCTTATATACTCGCCGTTTTGTGTCCGCTGAGCGCCGTAGAATATTTATGTCTTTTTTTACGTTGCATGGTGGTGTGTCGCGACACTATTTGCCCATTCTTTCTCGCCTGAACCAGAGGTGTCGCCAGACTGAGGAAAGGCCTACCGACTTTGCTATTTCTACGCACTTGAAGAAGGGAAGCAAAAAGTAAACAATGGCGACCTCTTTTTTGGTTTTTTCCCAAACATCGGTCATGGAGGTTCCTTCAAATTTTCGGCCGCATTTTATGGCCTCCTCCTTTCCAACATTCATTGCCGCTATTTCTACCGGCCAGAATTCTGGCCACCTCTGGGCATCTCTGTGCTTCCTTCATTGGAAGTGGATGGGATCGTAAAGGATGCCTGCTTAGGAGGCGCACTTGCTCGGGGATTAAGCCTTTGAACTCGAACTTCGTCCATTTTCCTGGCTTTCTGGCTTTGGCACGCGCTCAGGTCTGCAAAAAAAGTGCGTTGTATAATAACCTTAAATCCCTCCCAATTTGATTTCATTTTGTCCGAATAGTGCTGTGGGCCTCACTGCGAACAGAACACAGGTAAGTCTGTTGCATGTATACAAAAGAAATATTGAAAAAACGCATAGGGAGGGCTAGCACTGGCTGGCGTACTAACCAGCAAACTGCACTCAGCGTTTCAATCTGGCAAGATAATCTTAAAATAAAAGAAAATAAAGAACAACCCCATCTTAAAAAGCTCTCTAACCATTCAGTTGGCACTTCTTTATAAGATCATGATTAATCTCTTATTTTCAGGATAGTGTACCACAGTCCTGCATCATATAGAATATAGTATATATATCATACTGAGTCTTAATTATATTATATACTATATATATATTTATTATGCTATAATATATTATATATTACCTAAATATAATATATATATCAGTCTTATATTTTATTACGTAATATATATATTATATTCACACAGCCGTAGTAAACCAGATTTAAAAGGGCTTGGGCTCTTTGTTGAATGAATTCCCACATGCAAACTCAAGTGGTGTACCGCGAAGCCAAAAGCACCAAATGTACATAGAAAGGTAAGAAAGGGTAAACACAACGGGTAATAAGTAAGGTTCCATTCATTGTGCAAACAAGAGCTCAGGGGAGTGGTGAGTCGGGGTTATATGTGTCTTTTTATTTTCAGTTGTAACTATACTGGTAGCATGCTGGGTCGATGCGTGAGGAAGAAACATGCCTGAGACGAATAACTTGTGAACAGGGGTAGGGTCATTACTACTTATGTAGGAATCCGACTTCGGACTTACTGGAGAGAACAGTGGGAGATATTGAAGGCGACTCCTGTGTCCTTCAGCGGAGAAATCTTACTGGGAAAGTTGCTTTCATCTATGTCACACATATAGCTGTTCAGTGGATTAAAAATATTCGATGTCAAGTTTTAGTGGCTTTTACTCACCCTTCGCAATCTATAGTCGAACACACCTCAATATATACGCAACTATCTATTATATTAGGCTGTTTCCTGTATATGTATTACCAGGTATGGATGGAACAAAACTGTAAAAAGCTTTACATGCATTAGAATCAAACCCGGTAGCATTGTGGGAAAGATTATACAAGAGCCTTATGCCATTCGACAGCATGCGTGAGAGGCAGATAGTCCTGGACCTGAAGCCCTGCTCTGAACTGCATTCATTAAGATCGCAATAAGAAGGAGATATGTGTCAATGTGGAAGGTTGTCCCCAGGGAAGTGCTATAAAGGCTATTGGGCTGGGGGAATATCTTCTGAAGCCCTGTGTGGAAACCTCCTGCGGCCACCAAATAGAAATGGTACCGCCTAGCATATAAACCATCCGTAGGCAAACAGCAAAAGCAGCCCGCCTAGCCCTGTGCTCTGTAAGGCGTCCCTGACGAAAAGCTGAGCTGGGAGTGGTCCCCCCTTATACCGAGCCAATGATTGGACAGCACCAAGAAAACTGCTGAAGGATTGACAGCTGCAGCCACGAGTGTGAGTATGGAGCTGGCCAGCGTTGCTCTTTTATGCTGGTAGTTTTTGCTTTGGGAGGGATAGCATCAAGAAGAGAACGCCCGTGGGGGGTCGGGATAGGATGTCCTCGCCCAACGCACCTTGTAGAGGGAAGAGCGAGAAGAGCTTGGCAGGCAAGTGGTTCGACACATTAGAGAACCCCACCTTATTACTCGAACAATTTGGCCCAGTAGAAGAATTATGTAACCGGATAGGACCAATAGAATTGGACTTTCTTGTTAGATATGGGACAGCGCGTCCCCACTGACAGCACTTCGTACGAAAGCCGAGACGATCAACCAGGCAGGAGGAGTGTGTCCAAGCCGGGAGAACCACCGTTGCTGAGGCAACCAACCCGAGCAGTCAATAATCCTCTTTCGTCCCTCTCCACTATGCTGCACTTTCAGACTGTAAACAAGCCTTCCTCAGTTAAATGGTACCAGGGGAGGATATTATTTAACAATTAAGATAAAAATTTTATAGCATAGCCAAACACCTGTATATATTAGCCAAACCAATGATATTGAAACCCTTGACATGATGGTCCCAGAATCACAAAGCTTCTCTATTTGTTTTAGAACCACCGTTAATCCCATATAAATTTCCCTTCAGTACGCAACGACTTTATGAAGCTTTTCTTTATTATTTAATGGATGGTAGTTATAAAATCAATGGTACCGTGATATAAAAAATCGTATTATTGATATCTAGGGAAAATATGGGAATATATCATTCAAATAAATGCCAAAAATAACACAAAAATGCCATTTATTGCCTGTCTTAACTCCAAGTTTCAGAACATAATCTAACATAGAGATGTACCCCAAAATACAGATGTGAGTAAAAACCCCAATGGGGAAGGTGGGTTTATTTATACATCCATGAACCTTTTGAATAAAGTCCATTTTGTAAGAGAACTATACTGCAATAATTGGTCAAGTATAACATTGTCATCGAAATATACCTCTACATGGTCTTTCCCATTGATCCATAAAACCATTTCCATAATTCCATCGATTGCTCCAAATACTCACCTCCTCGTTACCTCTATTAAGACCCTTACCATTTCACTCCAGTACTTTAGAGACCCCTGCTCTTAAGAGATTCAGTCCCCAGAAAATAAGTATACGCCAGTTAATGAGCCACTGCCCGGTCTGTCCACTAGAACAGCCTTTATAGATAGAGATATACTGCTGGAATTTTTAACCTGTCCCCAACTTGCATCTATTCTTTTGTTGTGTGTTCTAGGAGTAGGTTTTATGACTATCTATTAGTTACTCGTTTTTTTATATGTATATGTGCTAAGATAACTACTCCATTTATATTCCTTCAAACAATTCTTATATTATAAGTCTTTTACGGGACGCAGGCAGGCTATCTCTCTGACACCCTACGGGGTATGTCTAACCCACCCTGGCAAACACAACCAGAGCAATATACAACCACCAATTATTGTTGGTCCAGAAAAAGTAATATTTTTTCAACTTCTTTAAGAGAAAAATCAAACAAAGGAAAATTCTCGGGATTTCTAACCTCCCCTTCCTCTCTAAGATTCTGGAGAAA